TAGGCAGGCGCGATCTTGGGCGTTATGCCTAATGATGCAAGCATGCGGTCAGATGTTGCATATGACTGTGCGACATAAGTAGCTGGACCTTGGGAGGCCTCTTCGTTCTCATATCCCCCGGAGGATTGGGAACTGCCGTCGGCTTCGCTATGCGAGCTCGACATTGTGCTGCCTCTTATCCGCTTGGTTAAGCGTTCGGCGAGGCCGACCGCTGTAGCGGACTTTGGGAGGCGGGCGGCCCTTTCCGGGCTCCGCTACCAGAAAACTGAGCCGATACACCAACAAGGAAATGCTCCTTGTTAGGAGGTGTATGACCAGTTTATTCCCTAAGGATCAAAGGGCAGCGCCCTGCACACGGACAGTAGTTGTTTTGTCTTGCTACGCAAGGAGAGCTTGTCTTGTCTCAAGATGGTAAAACCACTGTGAGCCAATGGGCAGCGGAATGTATATGTATGAGCATGCAGCCATTGCTGTAGGTACCTGTTAGAGCTACCCCTTTAGAGGTTTATGGTTTCACCCCCCCCCTCCCCCCCCTCCCCCCCCCTTTTTCTTCCTCTTTCCTGCTCCCACTTCTTCTCCCCGCCCTCGTTTCGTCTTCCTCGCCCCCACTTTGGGTCGTCAATCCACTGCCTGTCTTTCTTTTCAGGCTCTTTCTGTGTTGTTTTTTCTTGCTCCGGGCGGCATGGCTGGAAGGCCTTAACCGGTTACAGGCCCAGGCGTCTTGGTGGTTACCTCAGGTACCCTCCACCTCATCCTCCTCCCTGCAGTCCAAATGTTTGGGGACACCCGTTTTTTGCGCTCATTTGCCACCCCCTTGTCCGGCTCCCCCCCTCCCCGACACTCCCGCTTAGCATGCTGTATACAACATCCACTGCCGCCTCGCCCTGCCGCTACAGAGCCGAGGCGGGCGGCGTAGCGTTAAAATTACTGCCAAAGTAAAAAGGTAAACGACAACTCCTACAAGCTCCAAAAACCAAGCTTGCATGAATTGCTTGAGGCCAAGAGCTTCTTCTCCCTTTCCAACTCCTTCTCGTGGTCACCCTGCAACCGTTGGATCTCCCCGTCAACTTCTTCCATCTTCTTACCGATACGTTCCGCTAATGACTTGAAAGATGCAGTCGGCCATCTCTTTGCCACACCGGCAACCGCGACGAGGTATTGCTTCGCAAACTGCTTTGCGGAGAGCTGTTGCTCCTGGAATTCCTTTGCACTTATCGCACCCGTTTCCAAGTCCTCGTAGTATGTGTTGAGCTCGTCCCAGGTGCGTATGCTGCCAGCCTGCTGGTCTGTCAGGGGGGTGTCGAACTTCGCAATAGCAAGCTTGAGTGTCTTTATTCCTTCGTGACTGCCGGCAAGGTTCCATGAATAATTCCGGAAGCCCTCCACTTTGTCTTCGCCCAGCAAGCACTTCACCACGTAACGCACAGCTGCATCAACCTTTTCCGCCTGGACCTGCTCGATGTTCTCCTCTTCCTCTCCATCATTTGCAAGCGAAAATGCGCTAGGCACCCTATTCACGAAGACGTGGAGCTTGGACTCAGTGAGCTGCCCATTCCAGCACTCTTTAGCGGCCTGGAGCGCCAGCTCCATGTCATTGCCAAACCTGCCAACGGCATCAACGACCCAAACTATCCCGTGCGGACGGCTTTCCCTTGCGAAGGACATGACCTCGTTCAGAAAATTGACCGATCTGCCCTTCGTGTCGGGCACTCCTGGCGTGTCTGTCACATAGAGCGTCATCTGGCCTTCATCCCCTCTCGAATTGAGGTAGTACTTGACGGGGTTTCTTGAACGCTTTGTTAGCACCTTGCAGGGGGTTCCAAGCACAACCGCACTCTTCTGTGGGAGGCCTTGTCCAACACTGCATACACCGGGAAAAGGCAGGACTGCCCCATCTACCTTCATCGCACCCCGAAGCCCTAAACCCTCCACCCTAAACCAAAAACCCTAAACCCCCCTTTTGGAAGTACAGGAACGCACGTGTGAAGCTATGGAAACAGGGAGCCCGTCGCTTCCGCACCGCTGAACTTTCAAAGGAAGGCTCGAGACTCGCCGTTTAATGTGAGCAGTTCAGAATACTAGTATATACTGCACCGCCCAGATGATGACTCATGACACCGCCCATCACGAGGACCCACACCCCTTGTTCAAGAATGACGATGGCCAATGTGGCTGGTACAAGATGTTTGTCAACGGAACCCACGGCCCTTTGCAGGACTGGACATCAATGTAAAGCAGGGGGTACGCGCATTCTTGGTCTATTCAAACTGGTGCAAGATTTCCTCCATCAACAGTACCACTACAACCACTACTGCCACTACTACCTCTACTCCCACTACTACTGTTCTACTAGTGGCCGTAACCGTAGTAGTGGTGACGGTAGTAGTAGCACGACTACTACTACTACGAACACGGCTACAACTACTACTATAGTCATAATACCAGTAACAGTACTGATGGTGAAACAACGCAAGACTGCGGGCAAAGGTACCATGGTTGTTTCAAGAACCCCAGGCAAAATCCATGCACCCTGGTGGAGCAAGGGCCGAAGGTGCTGCTGGAGATCACGCCATAGTTCGGATCTTCTTCCTGTTGCGAAGTCTTTGGTACCGGCAGCAGGGTGAGCTTGTTGCTCACAAAAGACTTTCCGCTGCCACTTGGGCCGCAGATCATTACTTTTCGCTCTATCACGGCCATGGGAGGGGCAGTCACGAGGCCTAAGGCAAAGGGCCCGGTGCCTCTTCACGGCTTCGACCTGCAGAATACAAGCTATGGAGGCCGCTGCAATGCAAAGGAAATCTTCACTGCATGCAAAAGATCTGCCCCGCTGTCGTCCACATGGTGCCTTGGACCCCCCACACCCTCGACAAGACACGGTGTGCACAGGACCGCACCCCTGCACCCACAACAAGTTGGAAACTCACGCTGACCGCACGAACAGAAAAGAGCAGCTCTCAACATGCTTTTGCACCCAGATATTGGACGCTGCGCGATCCGCCGCGCGCCTGAGTTGCCGCGCCGGCGCAGAGAAACACATCTGCGGCGGCTGCACCTTGACCCCGATCTCTCCATTCCTGCACATGTAAGAAGTCTGGGCGGGTCTGGTCACTCCTCTGAACCAGGCCGTCCCTTCAATCAGCAGAGATGTGGGGGATGCGGACTGAAGCTATTGTCTAGAAGTACTACACCATGACGCAAGTAACATCAACTTCGGCAACGGGGCCAATCAGACGCAGAACGCTCCAATTTCGATGCATTCGAGGAAACTTCATCAAGCTCAATGCCAATCAAACCTAACACAAACGGTCAAGACCCCTTCAGCATTCCTTTCCGGATTCCTCCCGAGCATGGTTCGTCAAGTCAAGGTAATCTGCTGCATCATCACCTAGACACATCTTGCCAAACATGAGCGCAACCCGCTTCGGACTGTTGTTGCAAGTGTTGATCTCAAACCGGAGTCTTTCAATCACAAGCGAACCGCATACTGCACAAGCTCTGCTCTGCATGTTCTGCGGCACAGGAACCATCCAAGCAATGGTTGCGCGGGCGGAGATGCTTCTTCTTTTCCACCCCGACCTACCCACTCCGATGCCCACAAAAGCACATGGGTCATAGCTGCACTGCTACGTAATCGTGGTTAGTCAGGTATGCCACAGGAAGAGCAAAGACTTCGCCTGTTGGTGACAATTACGAACGGTTTCCTCCAAACTTCGTTGGTGCTTGGCTGGGGCTTCTCATACACCTTCCACGCCTCGCACAGCGCCCATGGACTCCCACGACAAGCCTGCGCTCTTCTGATAGCTTGAAGCCCCTTGATACTCTGATGATCGCAGAAAATCTGGCAGTGGAACAACAGCAGCGCAGGCACCATCCATGTGACATGTGGCAAACATCGTCATGGTGACTGCGGTATCACGTGTCGCGGGCATTTTTGCAAAGCAAGGAGCGCAATCAAAAAGGCAAGCATGAGCATAGTTGATCAGCTAATCCCTCTTCACTGCGGAGCAAAAGCATGGCAAGAAAGGATGTATGGCTGGCGGGAACTGCCGGGCAGGGTGGGCAGGTTTCCGGTGTTTGAGGGTTGGGTCCAGTCTCATCACGAACAGCTTGCACAGCTTTGTTGGATTGCTTTAACTACAGTGAGACCGGGAGAAAGTGAAAGCACACATTGAAATCATCAGGAAGAGCTCGAGTATGTGCTCTCCCGACAACCTCTGCCCCTCAACCTCAAAACCCCAAACCCTAACGTCCCAACCCTTACCAATGCCTCTATACATTGCAACTGTTTCTGCGACTTTGGTATCTAGACACAGGTCTTGCGAGGTGTGGTGGCGATAATGGCAGATGGATGTTGCATGCTGTTGCGGTCGTATCATATAGTGTGCAGACATGATGTGCAACATTAGCACGAGCCATCTAGACGCGTGATGACATGTGTAGCGCTTGGGTCCGCTGACCTGCCGTGGGACCTCGGCTGCATGTGCCTCCACCACAAAACCCAATGCAGTGAAAGCTTCCACAACGTGTCAGCAGACTTCTGACACTTGGCTAAAGAGATAACCTGGCGATGGCATCTGCCTCCAAGTATATGCAGCAGAAACCGCAGTTCGTTGTCTGCTTCAGAGACAGAACCAGAAGTGCAAGCAACACATCACGCATCATTCAATGGTCCGCGATGATCCCGGCTTTCGGTTTTTCTGTGCCACTGCTCTCCGGGCCTTGCTTCGGCATCCCTCGTCCCTCCTCACAGGCTCCTCGCAGCACGCATCAATTGTATGAATGCATGACGTGCTCAATGATACGGCCCTGCATCGGCGCTGAGATCAAACTACATCTGGGAGAGCTTCGAGTCGCAGAGTGCACAGAGGACCGATGAGTCCATGTTCCATGTCCTTTTGCCCCCGTAGCGCAAGCTTGAGCTGGCTTCAGCTCGCGACGCGGACTCTTCACGAGCACGGACTGCTCAGCTAAAATAGCTAGAAGCTTCAACCTAAGTCGGACTAGGCACCTTTCTGCCGCAGAGACCTGGCCATAACCGCCACGAAGTAGCAAAGGATGAGAATGACAAGCTCCACATGCATATCCCGTTGGCTCTTCTCATGAATGCTGCTCAGGTACTGGAGGAGGGGTACCAGGGTAAGAGCCAATGCAACGACTTCACTCACGGTCGTTGTTGGCAGGGTCACATAAAGCAGCGGCTTCAAGAAGAAGACGGACTGCATGTAGGCCAGAGCCTTCGCGCGCTTTGTATCTGACGGTGTGAACACCAAGCCTGAGTCACCAAGGAGCATGGCGACACACAGTGCAAGGACTACACCAAAGCATGCCCCAGCAGCTGTGCGAACTCCGGCAATATGGCGCATTTCTTGTGCAGAATCCCGTAAAATGCTCCAGAATTCGTCCAACTTGTTGAACAGCTCTTCTGCAGCACTTATTGCTTTCTGCATCGCATCTTCCACGACTTTGCTCATGAAGTAACCGAATCGTGCAATTCGGTTGACTACTTCCTCCATCGCTTTTTTCACATACCGTGCGATGATGAGGGAGCCTACGCACCAGAGAATGAGAGAGATGGGGCCGCAGAACTTGCCAGTGACAAGTCCAATAACAGAGTTGAACGTTCCGCTGAAGAGGGACCAGAGGACTGTGACTCTACTGTCCGTTTGTGGCTTTGTGGCCAGACGGGGCTCGTGTGGCTCCGAAGGCAAATCCGCAGGACGGTGGTGAGGTGGCGAAGTCGGAAGCAATGGCTCGTTAGTCGGAAGCAATGGCTCGTTTCGGCTGTTCATATTCCGTCTTGTCTCAAGCAGCCGAGGCACTTCCTGCAAAAGCATGCCAGCTCCGAATACAACTACAAGAACGATGCCGTAGAATGGGTCGCTTGCCATGTCGTCGTTGATGAAGTCCAGACTCCAAAGTCCTGCAACTAAAATCAACTGGACAGGGTCGAGCTGGCAAGCAACAGACCCGGCAATGGTCACAAAGAGTTGCATCAGGAAGGGCGGGACGCCCCAAAAAGCCAGTGCATAAACTGCCCACGCGATTGAGAAGATGAGCGTTGTTGTGAGGCTGGCTCCGAAGATGAAGGGCAGTTCCACCTGATAATTGCGGCGAGCAAACAAGCTTCAAAAGGGTGCGCTCACGGAGAGTAGGCTAACAACTATGATGACGTTGACTACAGGTTGCTTTCGTGCTGCTGCTTTGCTGGATGCTAAGCTGCTGATTGTGACCCTGCCGGGATTTTGGTCGGAAAAATGTCGCCAACCTGCAGGGAAAGGTCCGGCAATGATGCGATGACAGTCTTCAAGTCCTTAACTCCCTTGTCCTCACCTTGAAAGTTGTACGCAGCGTTATGGAAGTCCTTCACTTTCTCTTTGCCCAAAAGGCGCTCCACCACGTAATTAACAGCCTTGTTAAATTCAAGGGTGGCCTGCTGGGTCTGCTCGACCTTATTCACGAACACGATGAGCCTGGACTCGCTCAATTGCTCTCCCAAACACCGCTTAGCTGCGTTGAGCACCGGCTCCGTGTCACGGTCATATCGGGTGCTGGCATCCACGACCCAAATTATCCCGTGCAGCGGGGACTTCCTGATGTCCCTGAGGAGCTCCACCGCCGCGCTCTCCTCGCTGGGCATTCCTGGCGTGTCTGTCACATAGAGCGTCATCTGGCCTTCATCTCCTGTCGAATCGATGTACTTGACCGGGTTTTTCGAACGCTTTGTAAGCACCTTGCAGGGGGTTCCAAGCACAACACTAGCACCTGCCGCACTTCTCTGGGAGGCCTTGTCCAACACCACGTCCGCAACGCTAACTCCAACCAACACCCATGCACCTTAATGGAGCCACGGCCGAAACTGCTGCTGGAGATCACGCCATAGTTCGGATCTTTCTCCTGTTCCGCCCTCTTTGGTACCGGCAGAAGGGTGAGCTTGTTGCTCACAAAAGACTTTCCGCTGCCACTTGGACCGCAGATCATTACTTTTCGCTCTATCACGGCCATGGGAGGGGCAGCCACGAGGCCTCAGGCAAAAGGCCCGGTGCTGCTTGACAGCTTCGATATGGAGGCTGATGCAACGCAAGGGAAATCTGCACCACATTGTGCCTTGGACCTCCCACACCCTCGACAAGACACGGTGTGCAAAGCTTTGGGCCTCGGGCCTCTGCACAAGATCGCACCCCTGCACCTGCAACGAGTTGGAAACTCACGCTGACCGCGCGAACAGAAAAGCGCAGCCCCCTGCAACGAACTGGAAACGTCCGAGCGCAGGACTGCAGAGCAATGCATCCCAGATAGCACAGGCTTTGATAAAGCGCAAGCAAGAGCTGTGAATAGCTGTCTGATTTCTTAGTCTCCTTATTCTGAATATACGAGCCGCCCCGAAGTAGAGGCGCTGCACCGGCCTGGCAAAGACGGCTTTTCTGAGTGAGATGGTCATGTTTAAGGGGATTTGGGGTTGTTTGGTTCTGATAACGGGGTTTACGGTTCTAGTCAAGGCTTTTTTGGGTTTTGGATTGTTGTTTAGGGTTTAGGGTTCGTTCTGGGCTGCTGGGGATGTGTGTAGGGTTTGGGGCGTTCCATAATAAACTTCTCAACATGAACTTGCTTGCCCCCAGCGGGCACCGGAGAGACCCAAACTCTCGGAACTGCTGTGTCAACGCGCGGATTCCGCGGGCTTCTGCAATCGTACTCGTTTGTTTTTTGTTGTTTGGGGGGGTGGGGCTCTGGCAGTAATTATCAGTGCTTGACATTGCGGGCTCAGATGCCAGCTAGCATAGTCTCGGGAAAAAGCAGAGACGCTCCATGGGTCCGGGGTCTGTGCGGGGATGCTGCAGATTCCTTGCTAAAGTGACAAGGACTAAAGGGCACATCAAAATTGGAAGCATCCAGTCGAATGGCATGGATATCACTTGATGGACCCTCAGATCTTTCAATCCGAGGGAGGCTCCCCTTCGGCTGTCATGTTGAGAACCCTCTGCTGTAGTGCAAAGAGCATTCTTGTTGGCAGGGCTCTTTCCGGGCTCCGGGCTCTACGATTTTCGGGATGTCACTGTCCCTGGCAACACCTCGACATGAGAGCACTGGGACAATTTGGGAAAAATGAAAGCATCCAGCAGAAAACAGTTGAAGACAAGTTTTGCGATTAGGCACCCGTGGCGTGAGTTTGCAGATAAGTGACTACGACACATCTGCCTGCGCACCTTCCGACTTGAGACCGAGGAATTGATCTCCAGACCCTGAGAGCAAGTTTGTCGGAGTTGGCTCATGAAAGATACCAGATACCGGGGAGCTGCAAAATTCCAATCATAACCAATGATAACAGATATCACCAATAATGATACCAATAGGTGAACAATAGTGACAAGTGCAACAGTCGATTTAATGGTAATGAATTCTAAAACCCGTCATCGTTTTCATGGTAATAGTGAGTAACAATGGTAATAAAGCATGCAACCTTCCAAAACGGCGCTGATTTGATGCTCCTGAGAATGACACACGAACAGGGCCTGGGTCAATGTCGAGCCAGCTCTCCCAACAAAAAGGGGTCTAGCTGCAGTACAGTGGTATAGTATGGTATGGTATGGCATGGTATGGTAAAGAATGCGAAAATATAGTTTAGTATATTGTACTATAGAAATGACGTAATGACAACATATTAACACCTGTTCCGCCTGTTGCTCAGCACTGCTCTGCTGGAGCCAAGCGTTGCAACCACCCGCTATCTGGCCAAGTGCAATCGTGGAAAAGAAGACAACAACTTATCCCTGCCAAATGCTTCGCTCCAGGAAGTGAGACCATAAGGACTTCATCTGCTACACTGCTTTCCCGGAACTCTGAAATTGAAAGAACGCAAGGGACCTATGAGTGCAAGTTGGAAATGTGCTCTGGGTGCGCCCAAGTAGGCATCCAAAGTCTAAGTCCCCTGCCTGCCCATCCCCAGGCCGGCAGCTCCACGAGGCAATGCCCCAATCTTAAATTGTTTAAGGGTTGAGGGTTTGGGGTTTAGGGCCTGTGCCGCGGTCCGTCTTCACGTACCCTCCACCTAATCCTCCTACCCGCTTTTTGCGTTCGTTTGCCACCCCCTTGCCCGGCCTCCCCTCATTTTCCCTCCCCTCCTCCCCCCCTCCCCCCCTCCTCCCCCCCCCCTCCCCCTGTGCCGATACACCCCCAAGGGATACTCCTTGTAAGGAGGTGTATGACCAGTTATTCCCTAAGGATCAAAGGGCAGCGCCCTGCACACGGACAGTAGTTGTTTTGTCTTGCTACGCAAGGAGAGCTTGTCTTGTCTCAATATGGTAAAACCACTGTGAGCCAATGGGCAGCGGAATGTATATGTATGAGCATGCAGCCATTGCTGTAGGTACCTGTTAGAGCTACCCTTTAGAGGTTTACGCAAACAAACAGACACTAATTTTCTTTTACCGGAAGCATGGCCGCACATTCACACATATACTATTATGCCCACTGTCACAGTTGCGGAGTTTGGACTCATGATAAAAACAGCATATTATTTATGCTAGGTATAGCACTGAAGTACACTGCTGAGGACACTCCACTCATTTTGCACACACACTCATGCATGTTGGTCAGAGAGATCATCTGTACAAGATCATGTCTGGTGATGTTTTCTATATCGAATTATGCAGCCTTTCACTTTGCTCTTGTTAGAGCTTTGTGAGTCACTGTTGTGAAACTCTGAGATTCTCTTATCTCAGATTTGGATCCAGGTTTGGATCATAGGCTCGAGCGTAGACGTTCGGATGTGGCTCATCCGGGTCTGAGTGGTCTTCTTCGGAACTTGAAAAGATTCCGAGTAATCTGTTCTCAGCCCTGGTGACGGCGGCGTCTGCAGTATCATATCCATGGTTGGATGTTGTCGCCTTTGGCTCGGCCTTTGGAGCAGCTTGTGAGCTGGCTGGAGTTGCCTTGGCTTTTGCCGGTTGCGGCTGCTTAGCCTTTGCCCGTTCAGCCCTTCTTCTTTCAAGCTGTCCGTCTGAGGACGCCCATGATCTTTCACTTTCATCTCCTGAAGGAGATAAGGCGTGGGCATAAAGGCTATTCCAGTACTGTGGTGCAGAAGGAGTTAGGACTTCTTCATTGTCAGATTCTGACTGGTCTTCCTCAGAGCTTTGGTCGTCAAAGAGTGTCTCGAGGACATTTTTGAGATTGTTATTTCTTCGCTCTATCTCTAGTGAGGAATGGACCAATTGGTTAAAGACTGTCCTTGAGTCCTTCAGTGCTGTTAGAAGGATTTCCACTCTGGATAGAGTATCTTGGATGGTGTCAAGATGTTCCTTTCTTTCCTCCTTGTCTCTCTGGATAGAGCCTCGCAATGCTTGTGCGATTCTGAGGAGGTCTGTGTATTTCGCAAGAGGCATAGTTACCGTTTGATTGTCATGTATGACAGTTGTTTCGTCGCCGCTTAAGTTCCTGAATAGGACTTCCACGACTGGTAGGAACTCCGTGCTCCACGGTTCCTCTTCATCATATGTTTCTACGTGCTGTAGCACGCGTTGTGTAAACTGACCGGCTGCTTCTACCGTTGCATCGATAGAGCTGACGTGTCTTGTACTATGTTTCGGCACGTAACGTTAATTGCCTGGCCTTGATTGGCTTCGTCAAGTGCAGCGTCTGCATAGGTGCAGAGTCCACTGTTGTGGGCTTCTCTAGCTGCCTTTCGTTGAATGCGCCGATTTTGACCTCCTCTTCTGGTAGGACCTTTTGGTCTTGGAGGATCAGAAGGTACTGTTCCTTTCGCCTTTGGCGGAGGACTCTTAGGTGGAGGTGACATGTTTGCCTTGTTAGGCCTTGGTGGCATTGCCTTGGGCGCTGATGACGATGCGGCACTTGAGAGTGCAGATGTACCTCTGGCTTTTGCCGAGGATCCCTTGGGGATCGATGTATAGGTAATCTGCATGGCTTCTTCGGCCATTTGTGCATGCAAGGCATCTTTGAATATTGCGTCATATGAGGAGTGGTACTTGCATCATCGTAGGTCTGGAAGCGCTCAATGTCTCTTTCGGTGCCACGTGGACGTGTATCACCTCTTTGGAAAGGATCGTTCCTGCGAATCTCCGCAACTTGTACTGCATGGAGGCAGTTTTTGCACAGCACCTTCTTGCAAACATCTCTTGCTTGCTTGAGCTGGTAACAGCTGTCTGAGAGATGGTAGACTTCGCTTCGGGAAGTATGCCAGATAGGTCGCAGATCAGTTGTTTCTCCGGAATTGACCCTGTTGGGTCCTAAAGGTTCGCGCGTCTGCGGTTCGTCCTCGGGTTCGAGGAATGGAACTCTTTGGTTCGCTGCTGCTTTTGTTTTTGGTTGTTGGCGCTCCATACATCTGATAGGAGGCCTGGTAATCTGCTTCCACATCCAGTGTAAGCCCATTAGCAGCAGGAACACATTCCACGCGATGCTGAAGACGGAGAAGTCTTGCTCACTGGTTAGTGAGTCTGGAAGTGAAGTCTCATCAGTCTTGATAGACTCTGCGTTTGCTCCACCTCGGTTGCGGTGTCCGAACCAGCCCGACAATCCCGCTGCTGTAGCAGCTGTTCTGAGTGCCTTGCCGCTCGGAGCAGACGGTGGACGCGATGCCTTCCTTCTTCTTCTCCGGATGGAGGATTCGTCCTCTTGTTCCTCTTCATCTCTCTGAGCAGACATCAAGTTTGATGTTTCTCTTTCGTGTTCTTCGATGTCACTTTTTGTTGGTGACGGTTATTCTTCTAGTCCATCCAGCTCTTCCAAAGACATGTTGAGCTTGTCAACAATATTGGTTCTTTGAGGCCTGGACCTTGATCTTGGTAGATCTTGTTGTGAAGGGGACGATGATTCCTGGTTCCTTCTTGGAGGAGGACCTTCAGGCTCGCTGGGACGTTCAGGCTGTGGCCACTCCCAGAATCTTCCATATCTGTGATGGCTACCTGATGGTTGCGATTTGTCGTACCAGCTGTTGCCGGATGAGTAAACGAATGAATCGTTGTAACCCCAGTATTCGGCATTAC